AGAATATGTAACAATATCATTTCTAAGTTATTTTGAGAAAAACGTAGTATATTTTTACAAAATGATTCAAATATATTAAAAACATTAAAAGAATATTTTTCTATATTTATCCTGTTTATACTGAACACTTAAATGTATTTGGGACATTCCATCAGTGCTGCCGGCAAAATTTGGGGTAACCAAAATGAACAATCAAGGGCTCATTTTAAAGCTTAGAACCTGTACTTTTCAAAGTTGTATGCACTTTGGGCAAATTCAACATAGTGGCTTCAATATGGCGTCTGAAAACCCTAAAAACGTTGGATCAAACATTTTACTCTGGATGGCATTAATCATGTTCAATCAATTGTTGGTGATCACAATTTTGCCATGGAGATATATATAAAATTTCAAAATGGCGAGTCCAACATGGCGGATTTCATGACGAAAAGTCAATCTGAATATCTAGAATATTAGACAATCGGTTCGAAAATGCATTACATAGTTTTTTCTATGTTACTGATCATAAAACTGATATGAACGATTCACAATTACAAAATGGCGTATCCAAGATGGCGGACTTGTGGTGAAAATTGAAATTTTGTCCCTTAACCTGCGACAAATCGATTTGAAATTAAGGTAACTCCAGTTATTCGGAGTTCCCTATGACACATCAATTATTTGAAATCACAAATCACAAAATGGTGAACAGAAGATGGCTAACTTATGACTACAATCCACATCAAGATCCTCCAATTCGTAGGATGAAATAGAAAATTGATATAGCAATTTCTAAGTGTTCAAAACCGCAGACAGGCTTACTACGTGAATCTAAGAAATTTTAGGATATTCGTTGATTTCAAGTATTAATTGAAGCTTGGGCAGATACTCTTAAACAGTCCTTTTGAGGATAGTTGTTGAGCACTTTTCGGATTTAAATTTGGAAATGTTTCTAAAACTGATTTTGAAATCTTCCTCAAGTCACTACCAACATGACCATCCACCTCCATCGGGTTAGAACATCTCTTAGAATGCGACTTCGTCACATTTTGTAAACCTCCGCTTAAGCTTAAAGTGAGTAAACAACAATTAAAATGCTCCACAACTATCCGTTGTAGAATATTTGCTCATGATTTGAGAGGACGTAATAACTCAGACCAACTACTATTCTGAAAAAGACTGTCGTGGATGAAAGTATATGGCTTATCAGAATAAGATGGAAAATTCATCAACTATCCCGAGGACTGTTAGGAATTTACCACCGTCATTCCACAAGCACTCTATGAAAAAGTGTCTATCCTATCCTCAAAAGAACCGTTATTTTAATTTAAAAAATAAAGGCATAAAATTTAAATTATAAATCATTCATATCTGATTTGTAATGAGTAACGTCGAAAATATTAGTTAATAAATTTTCAAACCGATTGTCCAAGGTGATTGGCAACTTTCGTCATAAGCCGGCTATCGCCATCTTGGATCCACCATTTTGTAATTTTGAATCGTTCTTATCAGTATTGGTATGAGTAACAGAGAAAAGACTAGTAAATACATTTTTGAACCGACTGTCTAAGATTCCAGGTATTCAGATTGGACATTCGTCATAAATTCACCATTTTGAAATTTGTTAAATCTCCATGGCAAAATTGTGATCACCAGCCCTTACTATAACTGTTTACTTATTTTCGATTTGATTGATCTTGTAGTGCATCTACAGTAAAAATTTTTATCCAACGTTCTCATTTTTATAGTTTTCTAAAAGGCATACAGCTTTTAAAAGTACAGATTCTAAGCGTTAGAATAACCCCTTGACCGTTCATTTTGGTTACTACAAATTTTACCGGCAGTACTGATCCGGTTGACCTGGAATATCATTATATTTCATTCCAACAAATATTAAAGGGTACATTGTTACAAAAGCAATATAAATTACGCTTTGCGGTTATAGTATATCATTCGAATTTTTTTTACTTCAGAATGAAATGAATGAAATGGAAACGCCACTACTGAATATAGACATATTTATGCAGTCTTATCTAAAATTTGATTAGTTTATTCATATATGTAAATTATGATTCATATATAAAATTTTCGTAGCATAAAATTATTTAATATAAATGTTTACGTAAAAATATGGAGTGGCACGCAATCCGCAGCGAAAAGATTCTAAGATTGTAGTTCTCTGGTAGTTTTATTCTATTTCACCAGGTATTTTAGTAGAAAAAAGTTAAACGTTATTTGTAAGTAAAATTTTCAGTGCAGTTTCAAGGTCGATTCCTAATTAATTTACACGATATATTCAGTTAAAAGAGAAATGAAACTAATTATTTTGTAGCACATCAATTGTTAAACGACTCGATAAATATGATAATATTTTTATACAATTTGTCCGCAAAGAATGAACAAGATAAGGGAAATAGCGACGCAAGCATAATGACTTCCAAACCCTTAATATCGACGAAGTCTAACAATTTTTTTTTTTAATTAATATTTTTAGCCTATTTCACATTTAATATTCTTGTTGCTTTTAATAAACTATTTTTCACTGCTAACGTCTCTCAGCAAAAAAAAACGAGACTATTCACCGGTACGTTAGGACGACAGGGCAGGCATTAGTTACGAAGATGTGTTTCCTCGAAATTGTACCGTTCTGTACATTTTCAGTGTAATTAAAATAAAAGAAAGGAATTTAGTTCCCAGTCGAAGATTGTATTTAAATATTTTGAAAATAACGCGGAAAATTTCAAGACCCCTGCCGCGGTAAATTGTTACAGTACTTCCGATAACAGATCTTTATTGGCATAATCTTTTCTTGGAATTCTATCTCAACAAATACTCTATGTATTTTATATATTTTATGGTAAGTTCCATGTGAAGCGTTTAGTGTAGAGAAATAAAAACTTTTGTTTCATACTATTATGCAAATACTTACATATATTATCATAATTAGGAGCTCGGGTTTTCGTCGGCTAATCATAGGCGTGTTCGTCGTAAACAAATAAATAAATAAACAAGTAGGTACAAATAAAAATAAATAAATTTCCGTACTTTATCAGCAAAAGGTCGTTTTTTACGCCTTGGGGCGTTCGGCATTAGAAGAATATTAAAACACAAAGAAAACGCGAAACCACTTTTACCGGTTTCGTACGGTGCGCTATAGCGAAAAGCCGACGCGACGGCTATGATCATGTGACCGAGTCCCGAGCTCTACTCATAATGTACTGTAGTATAACAACCCTAGGTTCGACAAAAAATAATATATCGTAGTTGTGACCAAAAACATGTGATCGTCATAAGGACTACCTACGTTGTGTGTATCTATTTTTTTATTGACCGGAAGGCGCTGGCTACTAACTTTGTAGAGGGGATGTATGATTTAATTATTTAAAACAAAAGCAGAGTAAATACACCTAACCTTTTATTGACATACAATTCAAATTAAACATGTGACAAATAGAAAGAACAACAAAAACATTAACAACCATTAAACATAAAATGAGAGTGCCAGGCTCACCTAGAGCTCCTGCGGGGAAAGAGCATGGCAGAGAAACCCACGATCTTTGCTCTTACTACCCAAATATAAATACAAAACAACCGCTAACCAAAGGCATACATTAAGAACCTTTGCTAATGATCATCAAAACTGGACTTATTTAATTTCTCACTAAATGTCATCTCACTCAAGTCTGACATACACACTTCCAAGTAAAACTGAAGAGGTTTTAGTAACAATAATAGCAACAACAACAGCAATAATAATAATAATAACAATAATAATAGGGAAGGTACTGGAGTCCCATACGGGAGGCAATCCAGCTATAGTTGAGATTTCGGAAGATCCTTCATAACACTGGAGTCCCATACGGGAGGCAATCGAGCTTAATCCAGATTCGTTCCGCACGGGCGAAAATGTTAGTAAA